TCTGTACAATTTTTCATTTAAGGGAAAAACAAAGCCATAATGCATTAAAAATGGCAAGAAGCTCCTTCCTTTCACTTTCCAGACGCCTGAAACTCTTGACCTTTTTTGTCCCTCTTGTTATCAACAATCAGTAATAACTTTAACTCACTTTCTCTACTACGATAAAATGTGTTTTCCCAATTATGTCTGTCTCTTTCAGGACAGAATACAAGGGCTACTCATAAAGAAGATTCCAGATCCCACTAATAATCAGCTGTATTTCCAACCTGGGCTAGTTTAGCCCTCCTTAGGCAGCCTGGTAGACGCCCTGTTCCCACTATATTAACATGGAACTTAGTGTAGACACCCAATCAGCTTGGCCTCACCATGAAACAGGGATCTCCTACCCTCAGCTGGGATTATAAGCATGTACCAACACGCCTAGCTCCAACCACGAGGAGAATGGAAAGAACAAGTATGGCAGGAATGGAAAGAAACACCTACTATGGGCCAGGCACTGTACTAAACACTGTATAAATACTACCTCATTCAATCAGCTTCTTAAAGAGGTCAAAATACCTAAAAAGGTACTGTTGTATTTATGCTCACAAGACCTCCTTTAACACTAGAAGGAACCTTATTGATCAGCTAGTTTAACCCCCTCATTTTCCAGATAACAGCAGCTTATTTTTACATTTATAGAATGTTTTAAGTATCCAAAGCATTTTCCTCATAGCCCAGGAAGTGGCTAGTACAAATATTACTGAGGTCCAGGAGCAGGGAGGTGGTGCAGTGGATAGAGCACCGGCCCTGGATTCAGGAGGACCTGAGTTCAAATCTGGCCTCAGACACATAACACTTATCAGCTGTGTGACTGTGGGTAAGTCAATTAACCCCATTGCCTAGCCAAAAAACAAAAAAAAACAAAAACAAAAACAAAAAAAAAAACAAAACTGAGGTCCAGAGATGAGAGAGCCAGGACTAGAATTCAGATCTCCTTAATGCCAAGTCCAAGACTCCCCAACTGACCAAATGGAACAGATAAATAATAATCACATTTTACAAACGCTTTAAAAACATACAAAGGGGAGTACATACAAAGGGGAGTCAGTCCAAAGAAAAGCTGATCAGTGATGGAGTTGGGATCTAACTTTTACACTAATTTAAGGCACACAATCTAACACTGCCATTAGAAAGGCAGATTATATCCACATTTCTCTAATCTAATTTGTTTTAAGTGGGGGGTGGACATGGTGATTGGTTCACTAACATTATTTTACATGACAATTTGCCCAAGTCATAAACTCCAAGCATATTCAAGTTAGGCAAACATTTGTTAAATGCGTAATATGTGAAGTATTAAGAGTAAAAAGGAACTGGGTAAAAAAATGAATTATCACACTCAAGGAATTTACAACCAAACTGGGGGCAAGGGAGGAATAAGATGATAAGTAGGATAAACACTACAATGTGATTAAGGGTGAAGAGGTCTAGACAAAATAGTAAAAAAATATCAAATGGGAAAGAACTTGGTAATGGTTTGTGTGAATGCATGGAGGTAGAAAAGAGCAGGACACACTGGGAAAAGAGCCAATCTCTTTTTGCAAAAACATGCAGCATATGAAGAAAATTATGGCAAGAAAAGTAGGTTAGAATGAGGCGGTGAAGAGCCTCAAAATGTCAGGCTAAGAAATTTTTATTTTGTGCTATGGACAGTAGTATGCCTCTGAAGATTTTTGAACAAACAGAATGCATTTAAGGCATTATGCTAAGAGCTGGCTAAGTGCTAGGAATACAAAGACAAAAATGACACAGTCCCTGCTCTCCAGGGCTTTGAATTCTATCAGAGAAGACAACAGAGAGAAGTACAACTAGAATAAATAGGTTAGGGAGGGCAGCACTAGCAGCTCAGGAGATCAGGAAAGGGTTCAAGCAAGAGAGTCATTCCAGGCACAGGGGAACAGCATATGAAAAACACATCTAGGCTTGGCCAGAATACAGGCAAGAGATTAAGCTACAACAAGGCAACAACATGGGCTTTACAAGCCAAAAAGAAAAATGTCTCATTTTATCCTAGAGGAGAGGTTCATTAGCTGGGCTTCAATGATCCCATGCACAGATTTCAGGGAGCGCATGAATAAGGATGGATAAAAAAAATACATTATTATTTTTAGAAGTCCCAGTTGAAATTTAGCATTTCTTCCATTATGTACACAGAAGTTCATAGTTCCTCAATTTGCCAGAGAAGTCTAGTACACAAAATGGTTAAGAACCCATGTACTCATTAACCAATAGGAAGCCACTGTACTTTATGGAGTAGGGGATTGGTTAGACCTGAACTAAGAAAATGATTTTGGCGGTTTTGTGCAAAATGGACTGGAGTGGGGAGAAACTGGAGATAGAAAGGTTAACTGGGATGCTATTGCAACTGGTGGCACAGTAGAGCCCTGGGCTTGGAATCAGAAAGGATCACCTTCATGAGTCCAGACCCAGCCTCAGAAACTTGCTAGCTGTGTGACACTGGGCAACTCACTTAACCCTGTTCGTCTCAATTCCTCATCTGTAAAATGAGCTGGAGAAGGAAATGGCAAACCACTCTAGTATTTTTGCCAAGAAAACTCCAAATAGGGTCATGAAGAGCTGGACGTGACTTAAACTACTTAACAACAAAAATTATAATAATAGTCTGGGACAGAAGCGATAAGGGGAACCAGGGAGGTGCTATGTGAGCAGGCAGAAAAGGACTATTTTCAGAGATTTTGAGAAGATAGGAGCAGCATTTAGGGACTGAATGGATATGTGGGATAAGAGGAATCCAGGATGACATCAACATCGCCAACCTGTGTGAAAAGAAGGCAGTGGTGGTACGCTCCAAAGAAATATGGCAACGACACCCGGTGCACTACCCATTTAAATCCAGTGGATGGCACTCTCTTTTTATTCCAACGTAAACATTCCCTTTTAAAATCACATTCAAGGCAAGGTCATTAAAATGAGATATTTCAAGGCTGCTGAAATTATGAATATCCTTTCAAATTTCTATATGGTAAAAGGATAGTTTCATTGTCTACTCTTAGAACCATGGAAATAATAGCTTACTGTATTACTTCTCTAAGTACACATCTCCCTCTTTAGGATCTTCTTGAACTGGTTCACTGATTAAAAGAATGAGGTGGTCTGAACTAAGCATCAATAAAATTACTTTAGCAGCTGAATAAAGAGTAAATTGCAGCACGGCAAAACAAAGAAAATATGCCAATTGGGAGGCTATTACAATAGGTTAGATTCAACTTTATTTCATTTTCTATTGCAATAGTATAACCAAAGGATTATGACAACTGAAACTGGATGGTGGCAGTAATAATACAAAGACAAACTCGAGAGATACTTCCAGGGTAAAAACTGACTAGCTTTGGCAACTGACTAGATGCAAAAAGAGTAAGAAAGAGGAAACAGTCCAAAGATGAAACTGAGGTTCATTTAAGGAGAATGGTAATGCCATCAACAGCAAAAAGGAAGTTCAGAGGAAGGGGCAGTTTGAAGAAGGTGAATGAGTTCAGTTTCAGATATGTGGAGTTTGAGGTGCTACAAAATATCCAGGACAAGATAAACCAACAACTGAAAATGAGATCATGAAACTGATTTAGGGATAAGGATATGGACTGGTCTTATGATTTTCACTGATGTACTACTAATGCAACCTTCTCTGCAGTGTATGCTCTTAAGATGGTTACCCAGAACAATAAAAAGGCTAAGTGACTTGTCCAAAGTGTCATGAAGAGGCAGGATTTGAACCCAGGTCTTCTGGTTCAGAGGTTGGCTTTTAATCCACTATACCATGGTGCCTTTAAGACACGACTGACAAATTTATATTAATGAAACCCATGGCAATTATTTACTTTCAAAGGCACAACAAAGCCAAGATATAACTCACTTTTTATGAAACTGGAATGCAGCTTAAGATGACTTATTAGGAACTTTTGAGTGTTAGGTGAGATAAAGTGTTCCGGCTTTGAAAAGTAACTGTTCTTAACCTAACACCTGCTACAATAACAGATAATGATGTTTCCCACCTTTTGCTGTTCACACCTGTGAACTTGTAAAGACATTATTTGGAGCAATAGAGGAGCAGGAAAAGAAGGTTACTTTCTACACTTTTATCTAGCAAGTTATATGTTCAATCTCAGACACAGATGTAAACACCATACCTGGTCAAAAATCCAGACCTTCTGGTAAAAATCTGGTCAAAGAAACACAGTAAAGATATACTAACAACTGCTTGGTAATACATCTAAGTGTTCCAACACACCAACTGAGTAATTAAAGTATTATTAACCATGCATACTCAATAAGAACCCTCAATTAGAGCTCAGCTCATGTGATCAGTTCAATGTTCCACCCTCAAACTATCTGCTGCCAAGCTCTCTTTCCAAGAGGAAGCCTACTTCTGTGGATTAATAAATTTATAAAAAACATTTCATTTGTTGCAAAACCTCAGTGTATAGTTCTACTCATAGAGATACAAGGTGCTATCTTCAATAATTCAAGAAAGGGATATTTGGGTTACATTTTATTAATTTTTTCTATTTTAAAACATATGTCATAATAGGATCGTGGATTTTAGAGTTGCAAGGATCCACAGAGACCATCAAATCCAACTTATCATTTTAAAGATGAGGAAACTGAAGCACAGAGAGAGTAAATTACTTGCCCAGGGTCCTGAAGCAGGATTTGAACCTAGGTCTTCCTGAATTCTAGTCCAGTGCCCTACCTACTACACCAAGCTAACTCTCTCAGATAGCTAACATTTACGTATCGCTTTCAGGTTTACAAAGTACTAGCATTTACATATCCGTTTCAGGTTTGCAAAGAGCTTTACAAATATTATCTCACTTTGTCCTCACAACAATCCTGGAAGATAGATGCATTATTATTCCTATTTTACAGAAAAAGAAACTGAGATGGAGGGAGGTTACCTGTCCAGAGTCACAGAACTATAAAGTGACTAAATCTGGATTTGAACTCGGCTCTTCCTGACTCCAGGTCCAGTCCCACTGAGGCACTTTGCTGCCTCTAATAGGAAACTTTTTTTTTTAAATAAAGGATAAATGAATAAAATTCCACTTTTCTTTGTAAAGTCATCACATTATAATATTGTGAGTAATCTATTAAATATCAGCAAAAGTAGGTGTGGGGAGAAAGTCTTAAAACATTTTATGATGATACACAATTGAAATAATTGTAATCAACAGTTAGTTAGAAAGCCCCTGACGTCTGTTTAATATGTGACAGCTGGCAAGTCACTGAATCACTGTATTCTCTAAAACTTACTATCTATAAAGTGGGAATGGTACATTACTAACTCAATTCACAAGGATATTAAGATTAATGATCCTGCTGAACAAATTCATTAAATCAATGCAAATTTAATCCCATTCCAGGCTTCACTGAAAATAGCAGTGTTTTATAAGTGGTTAATTTGATCACAACTAAACAATTGTTTGCAGGAACTCATATTTGATTTATTCTCCTGATACAAAACAAGCCTGGAGTTAGGAAGCCCGTTATACTTGGTTCAACTGCGGACGTTACAATGTTTTATAGGCAGACGTTTTAATGTATCAAGTAGCTTCGGTTTCTGACAACCCAGTTAGTCCCTTGTTGATCACATTAGTTGGAAGAGCATCCAAAAAACAAAAACAAAAAAACCCCAAAACTATTCCATTTAAAAGTCACTTATAAAAGTTTCCTACTTTTAAGGAAAAGGTATATTAACTGTGTATACATTATACTCTATTTATAGTGTCCCTGAGAAATAAAACAAGCAGCATCTCAAAAAACATATTGATGAGGGTCCACAGAAACAAAGACAATGCCTGGATAGATGGTTTTGACATAGGCTTTTGTTTTAGATAAATTTCATGAAAAAACACCTTGGAGCTGTCTCCAACTTTAAGATAATAAACTGATTTTTCACCAGTGTTACCAATGACAAATACTTTCTAATTATCCTTAGTTCTATTTAATTACGCCCTTTGTTGACATAATACATTATATTTACTCTTTGCTTGCATCCATAAGCTCAAAATGGAAACTTTGTAACACTCTGTCTTGACCCTAAAGGATAAATTTTTTTTTAAATTTTTTTTAAGGATAAATTTTAAGTAGCAGTTTTTCTTAGGATATATAAGCAGCATGGGTTTCCATCTCCTCCTGAATTTAATTTTATTGTTATTTCATTAGTTTGAAGTATTATGAGTTCTCAGAACACGATACATTCAAAAATCTAATAGAAAAATATCCTAAACTATCTGTTGTTTTAAATGAGAAATGTCAAACTCTGTCCTAGTATGGCCTAAACTAGATTAAAAAGTAATTGGGTAATATTTAACAAAATGAAATTAAAATACAATACAACACAGATGTTAACTGCGATGTTAATTTGGTTTTGTAAGTAAATATGTGGCCTGGCCCGCAAAGATCCATTTCTATTTGAGTTTTACACCATTATTTTAGATTACCAAATAGCATCCATTAACAGGATAATTATGAAAAGAGGCAGACTACCTGATTCTAAGTAATCACCAAAAAGTGTACATGCTTAAACTGAAGAAAAAATGACAACAGAGATTCTCCAAGCTAAGTAGGAAAATATATTATAATTTCAGAGTACCTCTTAAAGAAACTGGAAGAAAACTTGAAAAGTTCAGAAGAAAGAAAGCTATCACATACACCACTGATTTGCTTCTAGCAATTGAGTCAAATTCTAAGAATCAGAATTGATGTCCAATCTGTTTCCATTAAAATTTTTGTTTTTTTAAGTTTAAGAGGGGATATACACTATACCTATCAGAGTACATTACGCTGGATCTGACACCAGAGTATGAATCTGGTGCTAAGATGAGGAAAACTCTGTCAATCCCTCAAAAAGGTAGAAAGCAAGAAAGAAAATTAGTCTTTGTTTAAAATGATTATTCAGCAGCAAATTTATTTCACTAACTGAAATATTTTATCAAAATTATTGTTAAGAATAGATTAAGACCCTATTTTAGACATTTCTACATAGCTAACTACAAGCAGCATTATTTTTTTTAAATTAAATCACATTCTTTCCTTCAAAATATATATTATAAACAACTAAAATAAAAATCTTTAGGTACACAGATGAAATAAATGCCATTCCTTCCAAATTTTAAGGCTTTTTGTTTTCTTCTCCCAAATAAAAAGAAATGCATGATCTTTATACTATGAGGTAAATGGACCATATAATATGTGTATGTGCATACACGTGTTTGCATACATATACACACGTGTGTGTACACACATACATACACAGACACCTGCTAAGGCACCCACTGATCAACAAAGACCTAACATAGTTAAATTAAGGAAACCTCAAAATTACAATATGCATACCCTCTTCAATGCAAGAACACTTAGCATTATTATTTGTGTCATATAACTTTGTATTCCCTTTCTCAAAAGGGCTCAGTACAAAAAAGCACCACACAATGGGAAATCTGGCACTGAAAACTGGCTTCCCCTCAACTTTCCTCAGTTTGATTTAAGGCATCTTAGTAATACCACCAGATAGCATCACAAAAGCAGCCCCAATGCCTTAAATCAGGCTAACCACCAATTATATTTCAGTCATGGCTGCATGGACAGTATAGTCAACATCACGATGAACTCCTGAATTCTTCACATTGCGTTCATGGACAAAGTCAGTGTAGTTTCTACAAGCAGCCTGGGGTGGTGGCATGCTCCACTGGGTTCCACCACGTTGACAGCGGTCACTGGCATCAGATAGCCTGGATGGTTGGGGAGTGGGAGGGGAGTACAGTTAGTCATTAGAAATAGACAGGGTGGCAAGTACAAGAGGTAAAAAATGAGGTGACAAAAGGGATGCAGAGAAGCAGGAGCACGTGGAAACAAAGAAAGGACACATACGAACTAACCCCTTTACTACTGCCACATTACAGACGTCATACGTCAGCGTGAAGACCCAGTACAAAAAGGCTGGTTTACACATGGCAGTGTTAAAGGACTTAACCGACAAACTCAAAAATAGGAAAAAAAAAAAAACAAACAACTTCTATTCCATGCAAATACAGAATTAAAAAAAAAACCAATAAAATCTCACTTAGTTTAAAGAAGAAAAATTAAAAGAGGCTTAGGGCACAAGCAATAGAATGAGGGCAGGTGCAAACAAATCCAGGTTTATGGAGCAAAATTTCACTAAAGAGCAAAGTATTACATTGTACCTGTACCTGATGTTGCAATTTAAAGTAATAACCGAAACAATGTTTGGGTGTTTGATCAGTCGTCTGTGATTTTTGCCACAAGGACAAAAATAAGTATGAAAGGTATTTTGGAAGCAGCAGTCTTAAAACAAGAAACAACAGGAAATAGGAAAGCCTGATAGATGGATTTAGGAAGCTCTAACTGCTTATGGGAAAATAGCTAATATATAGCATAAATTGCATTATAGCATGTGAATTTGATTGTCTCCCCCAATTACTAATGATATGCTATGAAAATACACAAACCACAGAGAAGCATATAAAGGTTAACACTGGAGAATTCTCTCAATCTTCATTAAAATAAAACATGAAGTAGGACTCATCAGGCACAGACAATGTAATCAGATTCTCTGCTCCTTTCCAGAAAAGCAAGTTTAATATGTTCATTAGTACATGCATTACTCTGCTTAGCAAACACAACTGGAAAGTCAAGATGAAACAGAGGATTATGTAAAATTTAATGTGCAAGCTCCCTCATTAATACTGATAATAGTCCTCCTGTAGAAAGGTAATGTTTGCTAACTCATATTTACTAACCGCAAAAAATTCCAAATTTCTTACTAAGAAACAAGAGATACACAATAGAAGAGATTTTTAAAAACATTAGAATCTCTATTTTCAAAATGGATCCCTCATATACTACATACTAATAATAACAGTAAAACCTACATCATTCCTCAGATATTCAATAAATGATGTACCATGAACTTGGAAGCATTTTGGGGGGGGGGCGCGGGGGGTTGCTTTGTTTTCTTTCCTTTCATTGGGAACCATGTTTGTTCATCTAAGTTGATTCACAGTTTTTTGTTTCTTTTTTTTCTTTTTGATGAGGCAATTGGGGTTAAGTAACTTGCCCAAGGTCACACAGCTAGTAAGTGTTATGTGTCTGAGGTCCGATTTTAACTCAGGTCCTCCTGACTCCAGGACTGGTGCTTTATCCACTGCGCCCCCTAGCTGCCCCTGATTCACAGAATTTAAATCTACAGCTATGTCCTTTTTTGGACACTGAATCAATCAAAAAGGTTTCATGCACAAAAAGTGTTTCCAAAATGCTACTTCTTATTTAGGCAGCTAATTTTTGTTTTGCTTTGTTTTTTACTCTTCCATGAAAGTCATGTGTATAATCCTCATTTTCCCAAATATTGGTAGTTTAAAAATTGAATATCCCGCATCCTGACTATTAACAAACCATTATGGTGGCACACCGGGGGCCAGGGGATGCAATACTTTTATTTAGCAAAGGAGAAAAAGGAAAATGAAACTTCTAATGGGTAATATGTCACACAATTCTACCAGCCACTTCCAATTTTTGAAGCTTATTAAGTTGTATTTCAAAATCCTACCAATTTACTCATTTCTAGAGGAGGTCTATTTTTATTATTTATTTTAAAACAAACAAAATAAACTGACAATAATCAACAGTCAAGGCATGCAAAAGAAATAAGCCAGTTATGGGCAGTAAGCATTTTGGATTAAAGGCAGAAAAATCCATCAGCTCCCAAGAAATGACAGCATACATTCAGTTGCAACCCTCTGATTAGGCACGAGAGGGCTCATTACGGTTTGTCAGTGTTACCACTTTGCTCCATTCCAGCCTAGTAGATCCCAGCACAAGATACAAAAGATGACACACAGCTCCAAATTGTTCTTTCATTTTTTTTAACCTCTGAAACTCAATCAAACCCAATACCTCTCCACCTCTCCTCTTTCCGACAGTCATTTCTACTTAACTCAGCAGGAACTGCAGAATCATATTCAGCAGACTGATGTATCTATAAGTTCGAGTTTATCACCTCAATAAATGTTTAGTGTTATAACAAAGGGCACACTCAAATGCTATAAAAGTAACTAGCCTCTCAAAAAATGACCTGGTGTCTATTTCAACCAAAGTATATTGGAGGGCAGATTCTTACTTGCCAATGGGGAGTAAGTACTAACAACCTAGGAAATAAACCAAATATGACTGTGTTCTAGGCTTTGGAATAGACGTTATGACATAATGTAAAAGACTTAAGGGGAGGGATAGTGAGGTGAGGCAAACTAAATCTGAGATTCAGTACTCTTAATTAAAAATCATTTAGCATAAAAAAAAAAAAGACTAGGTCAGACCTATTTGGAGCTGAAGTCAGAACATTCCAAACTAAGGAATTACCCCGTGTCCGCAAAGCACCTTGCAGTTAAGCCAAAAGAACAGTTAAAAAATCAAATGGAGAAGACTGAACGAAAATAATCACCAACCACCTTTCGCCCACCACCGAGAAGGAAGAGCGGCTTGCATAAACAGCTGAATGAAACCTTGAGATCACCACAGACAACCCATTAGGTTTCAGATACTAAACAAACTAAGAGCAAGAAAGACAAAGAAAAATCCATTTGATTATCTATTTTGCCTTCACAGACTAACACAATGGAATTACATGCAACACCCAATACAAACCACCCAAATTATATAGCTAAGGAAGCTTATCTTGCTTTTATTTCATCTGCTTGAGAAAGAGAAGAACCATTGATTATACCCAACAGGCAAACTATTCATATCTATGTGCTTGCTATCAATCTTGGGAAAAGATGTAAAACAGCTAGAATTCAAACAATTCAAAAACCTTTATTCTCATCTTTTAATTGCCTTTCATTCTTGAGGAAGTAATATTCCTGATTCTACATAGCTGGGTTTTGCAGCCTCATTTTCCCCTAGCATCCCCTTTGGAGATTACTTCGAAAATTTTATATTCATGTTACTTTGAAGAAGCAACTTCTACAAGTAACAAGCAATGAACATCTATCTATTGGGGGACATTTTTTAACTAAGATGAAGCACTTCAGAAAAGGCACCATGGGAGAATATCCTTTAAGGAAAAATTACTGCTGCAAGTCCTCGGAGTACACCCTGAGTTGAAGCTAAAGGGCAGCTAGCATTCAGGAGGTCTTCTACTTAAAACAAGTATACTCTATTATCCTTCTCACCTACAAACTTTACTCCTGTATCTCCACAGGGCTGTACTGTCATCAACATTCACTTTTCTATTCACAAATATGAATAGTTTGTCTTAAATAATACATAAATTCATATTAAGGTTAAGTATTTGGATTGCATGCATACGAGTAATATTTTCTCTGGGGTCAAGGGTTTACAAACCATTTCCTGTCATGGTGACTCATTCCTGGACTCCTCGAAAGATTCTCTATCTCCACCAGAACAGGACCAGAAGGAATGGATGAGATTACAGGCATAGTTGACCTCGTACCCCTAACCTTAAGGAACAAAACATGGAAATAATAATTTTACCTAAATATTTTAGAACAAGCAGCCCATATAAAGGGAAGGGAAGAGGAATGACACCAACAGGGACACAAATTATCAAAAGCTGAATACTGATTGTATGGTGATTGAAGGCAATGCAAATGGCTTAAAATTTATAGAAACTCTAAAAGGAACTTCAAGTATTTTTAATCTCATTTCTCTTTGCAGAGATAAGAAATTTTAAAAGATGTTTTACAGAGGTGTCCTTTCAACATCCACTAAGTTGTTAACTTTATAGAAAGCAAAATTGACACATGGCAAGGGTGACTTGCCCAACCTCAACCACTAATATATGGCAGTGTCGATTTAAGACCTCCAATATCCCTAATATCAGTCCACTGAGCTTTTTTTTTTCTTCTTCTTCTTTTTTTTAGGCAATTGGGGTTAAGTGACTTGCCCAGGGTCACACAGCTAGTAAGTGTCAAGTGTGTGGTCTGAGGCCAGATTTGAACTCTGGTCCTCCTGACTTCAGGGCCAATGCTCTATCCACTGCGCCATCTAGATGCCCCTTACTGATCTTTCTAATAACTATGACAGACATGAGGATACAATAATAAAATAACATGCAAGAGGAATGTAAGTTTACTGGCGTAAGAATTCTTGCTGTTTAGTGTATTTCAGTAACCTCACTAAGATGATCTTACTTGTTGGGATCCATTATTCTGGGTTGAAATATTCTTCTCGACACTACAAAAGAAAAAAAAATTCCAAATTTTTTTAATTGCAGGATTAATTTATAGTTATCAATACTTCTATATCTACCTATATTTATATCTCTGTGTGGGGGCGCATATATATATATATATATATATATATATACACACACACATATATACACATACATACGCATATATGTATATATAATACATATACAGAGAGACAGAGAAACAGAGACACAAAAAGAGACATACATCTTTATCTGTGTCTATATCTCAAACAGAAGCAATAAAGTGACACATATTTTTTTGCACAGAAGTTAACTATCATTATCTCTACTTCAAAATATATTAGCAGGAAACATTTGCTTTTAAGTTGAGGTTTGATTCAATTGGCAATGACTGAACATCTCTACCTTTGGGACAAGTTATATTACTTTCTTCTGTCTAGGGCCATGACAAATTCCTGTAATTCCTCTTCTCTTTTCATATGTGATTTATCATGGACTATAATATTAAACCTTACCAGTAGGTGCCACCTTATGACACTCCTTTGCCAAATGGTGAAATGTCACCATTTCAAGGTATTCTTGCATTTTCTCTGCCATCTCCCAATGTGCTCTTGGATCACCTTCCCTCATTTCCCCCACCCCTTGCACCAGCTGGCGTTAGCTTCAAACCTTGACAGTTCACAATGTGCATCTTCCTTCCAATAATTTATAAAAACAAAGAACTAGTTCTAAAACCAATCCCTGGGGAAACCATCAACTGTTTATACTTCTCTAACCATTCTCTAACCTTAAGTCTTTCTTAACAGTTTTTTTCGTTACAAATTGCAGATTTTATAGCTGGAATGAACATTTAGAGATCCATCCTTTCTCACTTTACAAATGAGATACACGAGACCCAGATAGATTAAATGACTTTCCCAAGATCATCCAGGTAGTAAGTGGTAGAAACGGTATTTGAATCAAGGTCCTATGGTTCCAAATAAAGGGCTATTTTCACCATACCATTTTCCCCTGCGTTCCCCTAAGCCTTAGTTACTGCTAACTAGTGTTATCAAATTATTTCGATATCAAAGTTTCCTACCCCATTTCCTCCAACAGTTGGATATATAATTCTCTATTTTGACAATTTTGAAAGCTTAAGTAGATTACATATTTATTATTTCTCTTTACTCACTTGCATTAATTTTCAATTAATTAAACATTTATTAAGCACCTAATCTGTGCCACATTCTTCGCTAGGCACCGGGGAGGGGGTGGAGTCAAGATGAGAGAGGGAAAGTCAGTATTTCTGTTCAGCACCCAACACGCATCCTAGAAAATGTGCCAGATCAAATTATTATCAGGAAAGCCAAGGAAAAAGTCATTCTGAGTCACTTCTCTGGTTCAGGGGAACTTAGGAAAACAAAGATGTCTATGTACACTGGTGCAGGGACTGACTAGGAGCACAGTAGCAGCGGAGGCAGCAGCAGCAACATCAAGAAGCATTCTAACGCCCAGGAAAGGAATGGATGTGAAACACTGAATATACAATTAGACTTGGTTGATATTTTACTGAGTGACTTTTTCTCTCCCTTTTTCTCTTTTATTCTTTATTTTTACAAGGTTGGATCAGTGTGTAGGAAGGTAGGTAGTACATATTTTGGAACCAAATGTGATATAAAAAATATTATGTATAAACACAGAGACATAAACACAAACATATTCATGCAAATGTGTATTCACAGTTTAACATAATATGTACCTCTGATAAATGAATAATTTAGTATATTTTAATACACACACACAGAGGATTTGCAAGTATGGCATTTAATGGCTTTCAGCCTCAGTTTCCTCAACTGTAAAATGAGGATAATAAAAGCACCTAACTCACAAAATACTCGTGAGGATCAAATAATAAATATAAAGTGTTCTGTAAACCTTAAAGTATTATATACTATTTAAAGCAGAAAAGTACTATTTAAAGACTAAAGTATCTAAATACCAGCTATATAGCATCACTCAGCTTTTACTCTGAAATTGGTCGCTTTTTGTTTGTTTTAAAGGAGAATAGTATTTTATTACTGGGGCTTTAATTGTCACACGAAATGTATATGTAGATGCAAATGGAACATACCAAAGACAGGCTTGAGTTTCCAGACTTCACTAATAGTGAAGTGACTAGCATCTGCCTTCTAAACAGAAAGCATTCCTATCAGTTGAAGTATCTGCTTCAAGCCATCTTCATAGAACTCTTCTAAAATTTGAAGAGTAACACATGATTATCAAATCCTTCTTGGAAATTACCATCAGCATTCTGGTAGCTATGGCCTCCTGACCTCCAAGATATTCCCCTTCTTTCCTCAGGGAGTTCAGGGCCTGGTTGACAGTTTTTCTCTCCTCAATTCCTGCCCTCGTACTAGAGGACTTCAACCTACATATACACACTCCCTCAAATGCCCCAACTTCAGTTCCTCAACTTACTAATTTCTTAGGACCCGCTCATCCTACCCACATGTACAGCACTTCCATATTCATGAACTCTGAAATTCCCTCATCTGAGGACAATCTATTGGCATTCAGCCTCTCCCTATCATGCCTGGAATGCTTTCCCTCCCCTTCTCTGCCTCCTAGCAACATTCAAATTCTACCTAAAATCCCATCTTTTATGGGAAGTCCTTCCTTATCCAACAGATTCTATTGCTTTCCCTTTATTATCTCTAATTTATTCTAGATAATCTTGTTTGTACACAGTTGACAAGTTGCTCCATCCATTAGACTCTGAGCTCCTTGAGAACAGAGACTGCTTTTTATATTCTTTGTATTCCCAATGCTTTAGCACACTGCCTGGCACATAGTAGGTGCTTAACAAATGTTTCTTGACTATTACTGGGCATTTTCCACTAGAAGTAGTTTATTTTTTTTACTTGTCAGGATGCACAGTGAGAATGAACATGTTCACTTTTATCCCATCTAATCTACTGTTCAGAAGGCCTCCCCACCCCCCCCAAAAAAACCCATAAAGTTTATTGGGGTTTTTTGCTCCTCTTTAGATTGAAAGCATGTAAAGATTTAAGCTTGTAGGATGTAAGATGAATTACAGATGGAAATGGGGAAAATAAACATTAATCACATATATCAAAAGGAAAGTTAAACATTTGGAAATAACCACCTAAGTTCTATAAAAATTTAGTCATAAGAATGATTTTAAATTTGCTTATCTGGAAAATAAATTTAATAATGTTGTTCTTAACACAGTGTCTGACACACAGTAAACACCTCGTAAGTACCTGCTAACTGACTCCTGTATGATCAAACTTAATTTTACAAATGCCTTGATAGCCTGTGTCTACAATATTCATTATGCTACTTAGTTCTAAAAGCAGATCATTCCAATTCCAAAAGTTGAAATTAATGCTTTATGTAAAATATTGCTTACCTGGATTCTTCAGGTTTCACTGCATTTGCTAGGAATAAGAAGAGAAAAAGATTGCCTCCAATTAGTCTCACAACCATTATTTAACTGCTCATCAAAACAAAAGCTTTACTTGAAAACATTGTACAGAAAAAGAGTTAGCACTACTGTTAAAGAACTAGGCACAATCTCAGGGAAGGTTTTCCTTTGACAAGTATATCAAATCTTCACTCTCTGACAGGAGGAATCAGAAAAGCAGGATAGGTTGGAAATAATTTTTTAAAAAATCAGCTTAAGGGATTCTGATCACTATTTCTGTGACCAGAAAGTTACAGATCCTGAATCTCAATTTCCTCTTTTGCAAAATAGGGACAATACCATCTTCTCCACTTACCTCAACTATAAGAATTAAACTACATGTTGTAAAAATAAAGGACTGTGTAAATATGAGTGATTGACATGGGCCATTTAGTCTCTATCTAGCACAGACAACATATTCTCCACTAACTCATGAGGGAGTACACAAGAAAGCTATAGACTTGAATTCATTCCAGTGAAAAATTATTTTAGTTAAGGAAATAAGGGGATAAGCCTCCTTAAACGTGATCCAATGATCTTGTAATCAATATTCTAACATAAATTATACAAGATATGTGAGTGAATAGAAACACAATGGTGAGTAATGACAGTGCTAATGGTTTCACTCATACCCTACCTCTCATCTGCAGTGTTCGTCGGGAATACCGTTTGCTGGGTCGTCTTTCAAAGGATGTTGACCTTCTTGCTTTATTGGTTTTTGTGGTCTGGTACTCAGTTTTCCCACTATAATAAAGTAAAACAAATTATGAGACGCAACAGTAAATTCCCAGTTGAGAAAAACCTGATACACACTAGATGGACAAATACAATTGCCAGTTCATTTTCAAAGCCCCAGCTTAGGTTTAATTCACTTCACATTTAAGAGATTACCAGTGGCTCTGAAATTATGTGGCAGATAAGGTAACAGTGAAGACAGACTACATTTCTCAGAATGGTGTAGGCACTTACCGACAGCACACTGCAAGTCTGTCTTTGAGAAAATGGACCATAAAGAAGGAGGAAGAGAAGAGAATTTTCCAGGAGTGTGTTAGACACAGGCAGTAACTACTGCATTTCAAGGGCAAACAACAGGGGGTTCCTAAGCTTAGCCATGCCCTATGGAATGGGGCTGGAATGCCAGTGGCAACAAACAAGTACTTAAGGATTGCTAGGGTAGGGTGTGCTCGCTGACCTGGCTGGGCTGCACACATGAGCAGGGATCACAAACTGGGGGCAGGGAAACAGTTTCAAATCAAACCATACTGCAGGCACTTTCCTTTTAATGTTGTGAATGCATTCCTTGCTACTGGAATCTGAGTACTACCTATGCATTATCTGTCTTTTAATAATAAAGACATGTATTTTCAACACATTCACCGACTGCCTTGGTTGCTAATAGGTGAGCTAAATTCTGGTGTTACCAGTGGAAACCTTGAGTGGGGTATTACCTCTCTAAATGGAGATGTTATGTTATTCCTGAGAGGAGATAAGCCTCCAAGACTGTGGACAGCTGGACAGTGTTTAATTGCTGTAATAAACTATGTCTTACAATTATTATTATCATCTTAAGCCTTCACTTTTTCTGGGGGGGAGGGGGTTTGGTGAGGCAGTCAGGGTTAAGTGACCTGCCCAGGGTCATACAGCTAGTAAGTGTCAAGTGTCTTAGACCAGATTTGAATTCAGGTCCTCCTGATTCCAAGGCTGGAGCTTTATCCACTGCACCACCTAACTGCCCCTAGCCTTCGCTCTTTAAGCATTCTCTTGGAACTTTGGCGATGGGGTAATGAGTACAGTGGTAGGCAGAAAGGAAAGGAAATTTATACTATCATGTCCCAGTCCACGTTTATCTGAAGGGTGATTTAATAAACTTGACTATCTCAAGTCCAAATGCCTCACCCTTATTAAATGATTTAAGAACTTAAGAATTTTCTCTCTTTTGGAGGACAATGAGGGTGAGGCAGAAAATGAGAGTTTGCTTTTGCAGTTAATTGTCCTAGTAGTGGAGTAGGTTAGAGAGTTGGTCTCAAAGTCAAAAGAGCTAGGTAAAAGTCCAAACTCTGACAAAGGAAATTACAAGTCTCATACCTATCCCTATCTCTGTTCAGAAATATTTAAGGAGATCATTCTCTTCTCCCAATTTCCAAGCTACCAACTGTAAAAGAGACCGACCTCTGAAAATTTTCAGTGAGAAGAAACTCTGCTTTGTAAGCCAATCCACATACTATTGTTGTTTTAAATATTAAGCAGAAAAACACTCATGATTCTTTAGACTACATTCTAAAACCTAAAAATTTAATTTTTTCATCCGTCCTTTCCAATACTTTGTACTGTTTTCTTATGAATTCTGACCTCTAAATGCAAACCACTTTTCTTGACTGCTCAGGTGACAAAAAAGCCTTTGGGGCCTCACATTCCCTGTCTATAAAAGAAGTGGAATGAACTAGGATATCAAGGTTCTTTCTACCTTTAACATTCTATAACTCAGTTAAAGACACCAAGTATAACAAGAAATTGACCTGTATCTGAACCGTGAACCTAAACGAATAAATCCCGATCGACTAGACCCCTTCTGAACAGGTCCTCTGAGACGAAAGAAAGCGTGATGTTCCACAGCACATTTCCATAAATGTTTGCAAGCTTTGGGGTGCTCTAGTCTAAAGACAAATGTGTGCTCCTGCTCTTTGCCCTGGAAAAGAAAAAAATTATTCAAGACAGATTTATTAGGCCAAAAACATATATAATATTTAGTTACAAGTTCAAACATAGAAATATTAACATTAATTTTTATCTAACTATCCAGACTATTCTCAGTTTAGACAAACTAAGATAAACACTTATTTGCTGTCTTCCAACTGAGTCTGAAGAATTTTAAGGTAAGGGTTTAGGTCTCTATACAGTGTATGGTTACAATCTCACAAGATATTCTCTATTGTTTCACTTACGTGACCTCATTGCACAGATTTGCATATAATAAAAAAATTCTCCTTGGCACTAATGACTAAGAGGAGTCACTGTGAGACTACCATAAAAATGGGAAACTGTATCATCTAATTCAACTCTACACCTTTCAATTAATATGAATTAGTTTGTCTGCTTTCTTGATAAGAAACATAGTTAAAATCATAACTCATACAAAGATTAAAGGTCTATTGGGATGTTTGCTTTTAAAGAAAGATAATTTGGCAAGCATCATTTTTATATTAATCCTACTTTTGTTTTCAAACACTAGTTTTGATCCAAGAAATGTCTAAGTTACTGTGCATGAGTTATCACAAGAAATCCACCAAAATAAGTACATACTGAAGACAAGTGACCAGAATCCAAAACTTAAAATCAAAATGCAGAGTACATTTCAGATATTCTTACTGGCAAGAAAGGCAAAAAATATTACTAAGTACAGAAAATTCCCTAACCCTTAAATAAAATTTAAAATTTCCACTGCCCTCTCCCAACTAGAAAAGAACTGAGGTGTGCTATACTCATATACAACTTTAGCGGTCTTCAGTTGTTGCATAGTGATTACAGCAAAAAGTTATATTCTGTAACAAGAATATGTGATTGGAAAGCACTTAGATGACATGTACTAATCCTGATGATGTCTTTACTAGGAAGAACAAGAGAAAGATTAGAATTACCACAGGTTTCTATCAGGAGGCCCAATTTTAAAAAGGATTTACTGAGAACCATAACACAGAATAATGGGGCAGAGTAATCATCTCATTGAATGGCTGGGTTACTTACATGACCGTGCATAAATAACATCTAGCAAGATTAAGACCACACCTAAATACAATGTAGGCACAATTACTAGAAGCCAAAATCCTCTTTAGAGCCCTGGGGCAACCTCTTGATTTTACACCTCTGAAAAGGGGCTTAAGAGATTGAATATTTCAAAATTTTCATTCTGTAGATATGGAAACCGCAGGCTGCCAAGACTAAAGGATTTGCTCAAAATCACAGAGATAGTAGAAAAGCTGTTACAAGAACTCAAATAGTTGGGTTCTTGTATTCTGCCTCCAAGTTCTTCCTTCATCATAAGCAGTACACCAATTCATGTTTATGTGCCACTGGCTGGTCACAAAATTAGAATAGAGAAAGGATAGAACAAAAAAGCAATTCAATTTAATTTGAGAAATATTTATTAACTTCCAACTAACTATTCAATTAAGTTCAAACATTTATTAAACACATACTACATGTAAGACACTTGCAGAAGTGATGAGGATATAAGGATAAAAAAACACTATCAGTCTCTTCCTTACTGGGTAAACATAATCTGTATAGGAAGAAGTAAATAGAAGATAATCTGAAGAGGGAGAGAACAGTAACAACTAGGGGAACCAGGAAAAGCTTCTCATAGGAGTGCCAACATAAACTAACCCTTAAAGTAAGCTAACAGTTGGTTCTAAGAGATAAAGGTGAAGAGGCAGAGGACTCCAAAGCCTTTGGAAAACAGTCTGGCAAAGGCACAAAGATGAGTGGTGAAATGCTAAGGTCAGGGAGCAGCCTGGAGGTCGCTCTGGCTAAAACAATGAGTAAAGAGAATGGAGGATGGGGGGTGGGGAGGGGTTAAAGTGGCGACAGACCCAGGAGAACTTTAAATGCCAGGCAGAGGAGGAGTTACCTAAAGAGGCATGAGCATTTAGCACGACAGAGAAAAGCAGAAGAGTGGGAGCCAAGAGCGTAATTGGGAGCTGCAGCAAGAGCACGGGAAAGAGGGGCCTGAACTGTCTACATGGAGGGAGAGATGAGGATCAAGCTAAAATAAAAAAGAAATGGTCCTTGAAAAGACATGTGAGAAAGGTAGAATTAAAGGAATTAGCATGTGACTAAAAAGGTACGAGGAGTGAGAAAGAGTTGAGATGGCAAACCCAGAGGACTGGAAGAATGGTGCTGGTCTCAATCAAAAGGAGGGAAGCCCAAAGAAGAAGGAAGTGTAGAGGGTTAGATGATGAGTTTCTGCTGTGGGTATTTTATCAGAAATGTTTATGGGACATCAAGATGAAGATTTCAAGGAGGCAGCTGTCAGTAGAAGGCAGAATTGAGAGATTAAAGCTTAACACAGATTTGCGGGTTCTTTGCAAAGCTGTAAATGAACTCATGAGATCACTGAGAAAAGGATATAGAAAAGGATCCAGGATTGAGCTTTGCGGAAGTGAGAAGATGAATAAAAAGACTGTAAAAAGTACAGAGAAGGGACAGTCAGAGAGGCAGAAGGAGATAGAGAGGCAACACAAAGCTCAAGGAAGGAATATCAAAAGCTGCAAAGATGTCAAATAGAATGATGCCCGAGAGAAGACCATTGGATTTAGTGGCTGAGATTGAAGTTTTTCATGTGGCTTTGAGGCCTCAGTTTCCCCACCCCTGGACTAGATGATTCTAAGGTTCCTCAGAGCACAAAATCTATGATCCCATGAAATGTAGCTTCTTAAACAACGCAAAAGGACATGTACATGAATTAGTAAGGGAAATAATTAGTATTTTTATAGATTTTATTTTTTTAATAGAGAAGTTATATTTTGGGATGGATTGCCCAGAAGAAAGAACAGGATTAGATCAGTAGTTCCAAACCAATGAGCTAAGAGCCCCTGGGGAGAGAAGAGGGTTCTACTTACCACAAAGGGTCCTCAATGGTCAAGTGTTTATTGAAAACTGCTGTTTTTATTTAACACCAATAAAATATGCAGTTTGAATACAAATACTATCCAATGAGCATCCTTGAAACTTTGTTCTGTTACTTTGGACTTTGCATAGCTAAACTTAACATGTGCTTTTTCATATGTTCATTCATTAAAAAAAGGTCTGTGCACCTGAATACACAAAATAATTGGGAACCACTAGCCTAGATTATTTTTAAGTTTTTTTTTAGTCTCATGGTAGTTTATAAAACTCCTACCTGTTCATCATCTTCCACAACTACCAAAGTTAATTTGTTCTTCTTGAAGTCCAATCTGGTAATCTTGGGCCTATGAGAATAAGAGGCAGGTAAATAATACTTTAAAGGACTTAAGGACTCAAAAGTCCATCCCAACTTCAAAACTCTCTTGTTCTAAGTAAAATTTGTTATTTTAATTCTAAATTAAAAGAAAGGAAGAAAAGAAGGAATTGACTCATCCAAAGTTGTAAAAACAAGAAGTTTGAGCTGGAGAACATCTTGTATTAAAAGATTTCATGGTAGCTGTGAGTAAATGTGGCTGAAGGCACATGTCTGTTTCCAGTAAACTCCTCACCAGTCCCCAGGCCACTTTGGAAAGTTATCTGGATGGTAAGGGTAACTCTAGGGGAGTAGACTGACACACCCTCTCCAGGACTAGAACGCAGTGAGATGGTATAGCTGCATGGTAGGTGGCAAAGAGATGGCTGTAAAGTAGTGAAAAGTAGTTGGAGCAAGCCTAAAATGCAGTGAGTACAGAAACTTTCCAAATCAAAATAACCTTCCCTGGCCCCTCTGCTGTATGTGCTACCTCTCCTTATTAGAATGTAAGCTCCTTGAAGGCAAAGATTGTTTTCACTTTTGTATTTGCTTAACACACTTCTTAAGGGTATAGTAAATAATATATAAATGCAAAACCTTTATGAATAAGGATAGGGAATCTTAGAGAGTTGCCTAAAGGAGTGGTGTTAATTAAAATCAAGTTAGAAACAGATCACTGGGAACATTATTGACTTAGAGAACCACAAATTAACATTATCTATGTTGTACTATATTTTTATTTATTTTGTTAAACATTTCCTAATTGTATTTTAATCTGATTCAGGCTACTAAGAGGGCTTTTTGAGGACTCAGTTTGACACTGAAAAATTAAGTGACTTCCCCAGGGTCCCACACAGAGGTGAGATTTAATCCACCAGACTTTCCTGCATGCAAAGCCAGTCTTTAGCCACTATAAGATATCATAAATATTTAGGCAAAAGAAGAAAGAAGAATAAAATTCCGGAAACTAAAAGTGAATACCCAATGCATGAATAAAATTATTTTGTTCCTAGGAAAGCAGCAAAGTACTAAAAATATTATAAAGAAAAAAAATAACACAGATGCAAGGTAGAGAGTATAAATCATACAAGTGAAATCTTCTCATATACTGCGATTCCAAATATTCTAGAAATTTGCCATCCAACCCTATTTTGTCTCAAAGCTGGTACACAGTGAAAAGAGTGCCTAATTTGGAGTTGTACAAATTCAAGTACAAATCCCAACTCTGTGACCCTGGGCAAAAGCTACTGAATCTCTCTGGACCTCAATTCTCTCACCTAGAAAATTAGAGGATTGGAACAGATGCCTTTTGAGGTCCCTACTACCTCTTCATTTATAATACAACAAAAGTTTCATTCGACCTACTAGATCTTTTTTTTTTTTTGGTCTATGAGAAGACAAATATCTCTAATTTGATAAAGAAAACTAATGAATAAATGAAACTTGTTTTATACCACCAGAGGTCAGCAAACTATAGCTCCTTGGTCTGCTCCAGTTATGGCCAATGAGCTAAGAAGAGTTTTTACATTTTAAAAAAATTTTAATGTATTTCAAAATGTAAAAAACATTCATAACTTCTAAACCATACAAAAACAGGCTACTGATTTGGCCCTCCAGGAGTACCCAAGTTTGCTGAAATACTTCTACTCTGTATTAGCTATGAGATTTTTTATTCATCCACTGAGGAGGGGAAGGAGAGGAAAAGGTTGGGAATCAAAGTTAAGAGGGGGACAGTATAGCTTAGTAGACAAAATACTAAACAGAGTCAAAAACCTTGTGCTTAAATAATACCTCTTAATACCTATTAGCTGTGTAACCATGGCAAATCACTTAGCTATTCTAAGCCTCCAGAAAATCTGTAACACTATAAATGAGTTGAGATCTGTATCAGTAAAGCGATAAAATCACAGATTCTTTCTATGTCCTGACTTACTTTTTATATACCTTTATACATCTCTGTAATGACCTTCCATATCTGAATTTGGAGTCTATTAACAGAAGCATATTAATTGACCACATGAATACTGTCTTTACTCGTTATGGTTTTGCCTCTTTTGGGAGATGACTTAAAATTTTATTCTAAAAGACAAATCAACATACTTTATCTATATCTATCTATCTATGTATACACACACACACACACATACACACACACATTCATATTTTAGCATTGGGGAATGTTCATATTGCATTCAAGTGGAAAAAAAAAAAAAGCAGAGTAAAACATCTTTAATTCTGTTTTAAATAGGCTTACCAAAAGAATAATCCAATTTTGGTCTCGCCTTCAAACACAAGGACTCCTGTTGGGGTGAGGCCTAGACTATAGTCATTTCCATCTCGAGCCTAATTTTAAAAGATAAAGATAAACATATTTTCATACAATATTAATTACACATAGGTTAATTAAATATATATTCAAAGAGCTATTCTCTAAAATAACTTTCAGAGGAAAACAAAAATTTTATCCATTATTTCAACCACTAGAGTCACAAGCTACATTTCAAACGAAAAGTGCTTTAACAACCAATTCCCAACATATTTTTCACAGATCCCTCCCATATTCTATTTCCCTGAGTAAATCAGGAAAAATTTAAAAGGAAATTGTCACTGGTAAATGAGAGGAAAATAATACTGTTTTCAAAAATGTCTTCACTGGTTTGCCAAGTCCCTTCAAAACTAAAAGCATTGCATCTCGTTTTCAGAAATTTTTTTTTTCTTTGAGAACAGTCTAATTTCTGAACTGAAAAATGAAAAGCAAGTCTATAACAAGGACTTAATAAGTGCTTTTTCATCAATCCATTCAAGATACCTTCCAAAAATGGAAAAACTAATTACAGGAACACCTGCAGGTTTCCATGGTCTATTCTCACTTATCCACAATTTGCAAAATGGCATTTGGATTTTAGATATTATTTTCCCTTTTTGTTAGGAAATTGACTTTTAAAATATCAAAGTCATTTTGGCTTTCAACAGAGGAATTATCTTTTTAAAAATATGAAATTACTGGTCAAAGACAACATGCATGTAACTTATTTCAATACTTCAATACTATAATTTTGAAGATATGGATGGCATTACCTCCTTAAATGCAGATTACAACCCCTTTGTAACTTTGCAAACTGTCTTAGAAAATTGCTAGAACAAAAAAATTCACATTACAACCAATCTGAGAATGGTCCCTCTCCTAATCTTCTTTGACAACAAAAAAAGAGCATCAACTGGTCCATATATAATACACTGTTAACTATTTCATATGAGTTTTACACTATGTTATTTTAAATATTTCAGAATATTCCAGAACTGAACATCACATGTCAATAAATAGGTACATGACAAGAGGAGAAAGTATCTCAAGGTCTCACTTGCCTTCACTACATGCATATCCACTCCATACATTTCTAGCCATTTGGCTTTGTTCAGATAGTTGGTCTCAGCCTGTGCTGGTGTTTGACCCCTGAAATTAAAGGAAAAAAGTAATCACCAAAAAGCCTCAAAATAAACATTAAATAATGCAAATCAAAACAACTCTGAAGTACCACATCACACCCATCAGATTGGCCAACATGACAAAACAGGAAAGTGATAAATGCTGGAGAAGATGTGGGAAAATTAGAACACTAATGAATTGTTGGTGGAGTTGTGAAATGATCCAACCATTTCGGAGAGCAATTTGGAACTATGCCCAAAGGGCTATAAAAATGTGCATATCCTTTGACCCAGCAATAGCACTTGTAGGGCTGTGTCCCAAAGAGATCATACAAATGGGAAAAGGACCCACACGTATTAAAGTATTCATAGCAGCTCTTTTTGTGGTGGCAAAGAACTGGAAATTGAGAGGATGCCCATCAATTGGGGAATGGCTGAGCAAGTTGTGTTATATGAATGTAATGGAATACTATTGTGCTATAAGAAATGATTAACAGGCAGACTTCAGAAAAACCTGGAAAGACTTGTATGGTCTGATGCTGAGTGAAGTGAGCAGAACCAAGAGAACATTGTACACAGTAACAGACATGTTGTGCGATGACTGATATTGATAAATCTAACCCTTCCCAGCAATACAGAGATCTAAGATATCTCCAAAGGCCTCGTGATGGAAAATGCTAATGTTATCCACATTCAAAGAAAGAACTAGGGAATTTGAATTGCTATTTTTTTTCTCTTCTGTTGAGTTTTGATTCCTCTTTCTGATGGTTCCTCCTATTGGTTTTAATTTTTACTTGCAACATCATTAATGTGAAAATATGTTTAATAGGAACATATATGTATAGCCTATATCAGATTGTGCGCCGTCTTGGGGAGTGTAGTGGGGAAGAAAGGGGAGAAAAATTTTAAACTCAAAAGCATAGGGAAGTGATTGTTGATAAATCAAAATAAATTAATAAAAAATTTAAAAAATAACCATTTAGGTACATAAGAACAATGGTCAATGTGTGCTATGTGCTAGTGCTGGTACCTGTATTCTTTCCATTTCTCAAAAATAGCTAGCTCCATCTCTTCTGTCTGAATGGGCACAAATCTGAATTCAGACACAAGCTCAGGGCCATGTTCAGCAAGATCATAGTCACCAAGTTCAGCTACAAACACAAAAGTTATACAAAGTTATATTTTGTTCAGTACAAGTCAGATTACTTCACGCTAAATGTGTCTTGAAGGTCAGCTTCGTCAACATAAAATTCTACAGAAATTGAAGACATTCAGTTTATTCTCATGCAATTACATATCCATCCTAATCCTACCAGATCAGATAAACAAATCGTAAAACTTACCAATAAATGGATAAAAAGCATTTCTTGTAATTTCAAGTAAACATACATTACAAAAAAGTCTAACTTGAACACCTGTGGGCCTCCCAGGAGTAAATGAGCCCTTAGAAAAGCACTTTTTTTGGGGCAGCTAGGTGGCGCAGTGGATAGAGCACTGGTCCTGGATACTCCAAATTCGGCCTCAGACACATTAACACTTACTAGCTGTATGACCCTGGGCAAGTCACTTAATCCTATTGCCTAACCAAAAACAAAAACAAAACAAAAAAAAAACACCCCACGTTTTTTGATAAAACACAGCAAGGACAAGAAAATATACAAAATTCTTAAAGTCAATTGACAGGCATCAACTTCTACTCCATGCAAAGCAGCAGCATGGTTTGACAGAAAAATCTCTACATCTGAAATTAGGTAACTTAGGTTTGATTACCTTGATTAAACTAGTAAGCTTCATTGGACATCAGTTTCCCCACTTATAAAATTATATAGAGATGGCTTCCTGAAATGATAGGGAAGGGAAGAGAGGTCTGGGGCTGTGGCTCTCAGAATGCATCCCACTCTCCACAGTCCTAGTGAGCATAGGAGCTGGCTTCCACATTGGGAGCTGGGACAGTTACCAGCATGCTGGCTTCTTGGAGCAAGGTTATGCTCAGGTATCAGGGTGCAGTGAAGTATTGCTACACTCTCCTCCCCAGAAAGCACTCTCCTATTTCTCCTTAATCAGACAGGCACTACTGAGCTCTCAATGGGGAAAAGTGACACTGATGACCCACTCTACACACAGCTGATGGTAAGTACCAATCTTCCTAACATCATATCCCAGAAGGAGAGTCAGAAGGGTGCATGGGCCTCATCTGGTCTGGTAGCTATGAAGATCTATCATGTTCATGATTGGTATTTCTGACCCCACCCAGCTTTCTGTAAATTAAACACGTTTAGTTCATGGGTCTCTTTTCTATAGGACAGCGAGTCAAAGCATCTGTCCTTAATTTCTTCAACAAACCTGTTCAATTAGAGATTATTTACGAAGAGTCTATTATATTGAGCACAATGCTAAAGTCCTACTCTGATACCTCATCATGGCAAGGAAATAACCCTGGAAGGTCATATCAAGCTGCAAAGGTTTCAAGTATACATGCAGTGGTTGATTGGGTCTATCATCTGAGAGCCAAAGTAATTTATGATCAAAAAGGTATACTATACTTATGTATAGAGGGGAAGTTTTTGGTCTGCAACTATGATATTTTCTAGTAAATTCTCAACAATAAAATCATAAACATATGCAAAAATGTGGAAGACACAATCCCTGACATCAATGAGCCTGTAATCAATATGGGTATAAAAGATTTACATGAGAGACTAAGAGAAGGTATAATAAAACCTAAAGAATGATAATTAAGGCAAAAATACTTCTTCAGACAGACTGCCTTCAGTCTTTCAATAATTCTATAAATCACTGTCTTAAGACTTAAATATTTCCCCTTATAGATAGAAAAAACTGAAGCACGGAAATGTATAAATTAAAAGAAACTTTCTGAGATGGGCTGCTTTTGATAACTACAAACTAATATTTTGAAAAACTAGGGTCAGACACAGCCACACAGCAACTTAGTCTCTGCCCATTTTGATACAACAGAACTCAAATAATTAAGCTTCAGAGAACATGAAACTTAACTGGCATGTGAGTGAATTTTTCTTTTCCTTTTTGGGGAATAGGGAGAAAGTAACATAGGTAAGAATTCATTCAGGGTCAATTGTAAAAGGAGTACTGAAGATTTCCACATTCATGCTGCCTATTCTGTACATAAAATCTAGATCCTTTCCCAATGGGACACAACAAGGAGAGAAACAGCCTCATAACTTTGAGACTAGGTAATTAATCCTAAAAAGCTAATCCCTATCACTAAAAAGTCACCTAGCTATCCTATAGTCAATAAATACTCCTCCATCTTTCCCAGGCATTAAGTAAATTTAGAATTAAAAAAAAATTAAAACTGCTGAATAAACATCAATTTATTAATTGTTCTCATACCATCTTTTTAAATTAGCATGGCATTATAGAAAGAATAGGAGATTGAGTCACAGGGCTCTACCACTTAGCACTTGAGTAACTTTGAGGATATAACTAGTTTCTTTGTCTGTTTCCTCAACTATAAAATGAAAAAGACTAGATCAACTCTAAGTTCCCATTTGGTTCCAAATCTTTGTCCACAAGAATATCTTAGGAACCCTTTTAAATCAGGTACCACAAGTGTGACTCTAGCCCTCATGGTCCTTGACTGGTGTGCCATCTCTCCCTCCATGAGTTGGGCAGCCCCCTTCCTACCTCCCTTATCCTCTGGAATTCACTGTTGACCTCAGGCAACTGAAACCATGGAAAGTGAAACAACAGATAAGGGGTGACTACTGTATTTACTTTGGTATTGATATAAATCTATCCCATAATAACAAAACAAGTATGTTCCCCCACATAACTTGCTCCTTCCTCCCCTGATCCCCCACTCTTGAGAAAAAAAGAAAAAAAAACCAGAGGGAATAGAGGCAGATAAAGTTGCTAAAAACAAAGGACAAGTAATTATCCTTAAATACTTATGTCCAAACTGGAAATGAAATATGGTTTTTAGAACACAATATTTTGCAGATTCTTTGTTGTTGTCTTTAAATTCTTTGACATAAACAACAACCAAAAAAGCTAAGATAACCTTTATGAAAAAGAATAACCCACCTTGCAATGTATAAGCTGCCAACTGGACTGCTGTGTCAAAAGGACATTCCAATCTGAAATCAAAATAATGATTTGTTTAAAAACAAGCTTCTTTAAATGTAAGCCTTTAATAGTTTATTCCTTTGGGGAAGGCTGAAGGGGCAAAATGAAACAAACAACAGACACCTTATCATGAAAAAAGTATTTCTATATTAGAATATTTTAACCTGGGGCTTGAAATTGTATTTCTTTTCTCCCCCGAATTTTAATAACTGTTAGCATAATTGGTTTCCTTAAGATCCTCCAAATTTTTATTTTATGAAATTAAAAACATGATTCTAAGATGAGGTCCATAGGTTTTAATAGATTGCTAAACAGGTCCATGACACAAAAAAGTTAAGAACACTTGTTCTATATAAATATTATTTTCCAAAAACAGTAAAGAACCACCACATAACCCAAGTAATTAGTACTTACTTTCCACTGAGAATATCTTGTTTTAACTGAAGAACAAATAAATACCTAGAAAAAGAAAAGGCCAACAATTTGTATTAGCCAAACATTTCTTCTACTAAGGAATAATACCATACCCTAGTGGGAGAGAAATACTCTTATCAGAGAATACACATTTTAAAAAGAAAAGTCTGGACTTTTTCCTGAGTCTAAGCCAGTACCCAAATACACTGAATAGGATCAGAGACTTAGAGCTAGAAGAGATCTTAGAAAACATCTAGAGGCAAACTCCTTCATTTTGCTAAGGAGGAAACTGAGGTCTGAAGAAGTTCAATGACTTGCTCAAGGTCCCACAAAGATGGAATTTGAACCCTGTTCCTTGGACTCTAAATCTAGTCTTTATACCACTGTACCATACTGCTTCTGATCAAACCCCAAAATCATGTACACACTCTGCTAAGAATGTTAGTTAAAATGAATACCTTTTACTTTCAAGGAAATACATTTATTTCAAGTTTTTGCCTCTTCCAGAAAGAGGTAGGAATACATTACTTTAATAAAAGCTATTAGCAGTATTTTTAGTCCTCTAATTTGAAGAACTGATTCCATAATCAAACATCTACATTTGCAATTTGCTACATAATCATCTTTATTTTTATCTCATTTTATGAATGGAAGATGTAAAGACATAAGGACATTGTGACTGAAATTCACAGGTTATCAGCTCCATGTATACACCCTTCCCCACTGGATGTCAAAACCCTTATGTGATCTGGTAAAAGTTTCCTATTTGAAGAGCTGATCATCTCCCTCTAATCAAAATGCCATAAATAAAAATGAATGGTTATGATATAATAGGATTTCTTTCATTGCATAATAAAGGAGCAGCAAAAATTCAAGGATTCAAATTTATTAGGTGACAGTCCTGAGAAGTATTTTCCCAACTTCATGGTCAAACTATAAAATAGGGAACACTACTATATAACCATAATACTGTAAAAATAAATCAAAAGTCAGAGAAGGCAAATCAATAGAGTCTGAAAAAAATGAATTTTCCAAACTTAGGAACTCTAGCAATCATAAATCCCTAAGTCACTGCCATCACCTCACCATTGTTTTGCTGCAGCCTATTCACAGTAGTACTTCTTCATGCTGTTTCTTTTCTTTTTTTAAATCAATCAAACAGGAAGCATTTATTAAGGACCACTATGTGCAAGGCACTTAGCTAAGTGCTAGGGATACAAACGAAAGGCAAGAATCAGCCTCTGGTCTCAAAGAACTCAAACTGCTACAAGGGAGAGAGAGGTGTAAATAACTGGGCTCACACAAGATACAAATAAGGTTGGTGAATGGTCACACTTGAGGATAAGGCACTAGCTGGTAGTAGAGGTAGCTAGGTAGCACAGTGGACAGAACACTGGGCCTGGAGTCAGAAAAATCCTGAGTTCAAATCCAGGCTCAGATACATCCTAGCTGTATGATTCTGAGCAAGTCACTTAACTGGTGTCTGCCTCTGTTTCCTCAACTCTAAAAAGGGGATAATAAACTTCACTCCCAGGATTGTTATTTAACTTTTTTTTTTAAATTTTGAGTTTCAAATTCTCTCCCTCCTTCCAGCTCCTCCCCCAATCCACTGAGAAGGCAAAAAATATATCACTTATACATATTAAATAATGTAAAACACACTTCCATATAAGCCACGTCAAAAAAAAAAGAAAACAATGAGAAAATTACACTTCAATTTGCACTTGGAGTTCAGTTCACCAGTTTTCTCTCTGTAGATAGATGGATAGTATTTTTCATCATGAGTCCTTCAGGAACTGACCACTGTACTGATCAAAGTAGCTAAGTGTTTCACAGTTGATCATCATAACAATATTGCTATTACTGTGTACAATGATCTCCTGTTCTTCTCACTTCACTTTGCATCACTTCATGTTGATCTTCCCAGGTTTTTCTGAAACCATCTTCCTCATCATTTCTTATGCTGTTGCTCAGTCGTGTCCAACTCTTCATTACCCCATGGACCACAGCACTCCAAGTCCTTCCATCCTCCATTATCTCTCGAAGTCTGTCCAAGTTCATGTTCCTTGTTTCCGCGATACTATCTATCCATAACCTCTGCCTTCCCCTTTTTTTTTTTGCCTTCAATCTTTTTCAACATCGAGGTCTTTTCCAGTGAGTCCTGTCTTCTCATTATGTGGCCAAAGTATTTAAGCTTCACTATCTGACCTTCAAGTGAATAGACTGAATTAATTTCTTTAAGTATTAATTGATTTGATCTCCTTGCTTTCAAGGGAATTCTCAAAAGTCTTCTCCAGCACCACAATTAGAAAGCATCAATTCTGCGACACTCAGTTTTCCTTACAGTCCAATTCTCACAGCCATGCATTGCTACTGGAAAAACCACTGCTTTGACTATACAGACCTTTGTCAGCAAGGTGTTATCTCTGCTTTTTTAGTACGCTTTCCAGATTTGCCATAGCTTTTCTTTCAAGGAACAAGGTTCTTTTATAGCTGCAATCTCATCTGTAGTGATCTTTGAACCCAGGAACACTGCTTCCATTTCTTCTTCCTCTGTTTGCCAGGAAGTAATGGAACCAGTTGCCAAAATCCTAATTTTTTTGATGTTAAGCTTCAAGTCAGCTTTTGAGCTTTCACTCTCATCAAGGAGGCTTCTTAATTCTTTACTTTCTGCCATCAGAGTGATATCAACTGCACATCTGAGACTATTGATATTTCTCCTGGCAACCTTAATTGTGGCTTTTGATTCATCCAGCCTGGCATTTCACATGATGTACTTGGCATATAAATTAAATAAATAGCATGACAATATATAGCTTTGTCATACTTCTCTTCTAATCTTAAACCAATCAGCTGTGCCTTGTTCAGTTCTAACTGCTGCTTCTTGGCCCGCAGGCAGCTTCCTCAGGAGAGTAAGATAATCTGGTATGTTCATCTCTTTGAGGACTTGTTCACATATTGTGATCTGGACAGTCAATGAAGCAGAAGTAGATGTTTTGTTTTCCTGAAACTCTTCTGCTTTCTCCATAATCCAGCATATGTTGGCAATTTGGTTTCTGGTTCCTCTGCCTCTCTGAAAAACCACCTTGCTCTCCTGGTAACTCTTGACTAACATATTGCTGAAATCTAGCTTGCAGAATCTTAAGCATAACTTTGGTGTGTAACATGAGAGCCATTCCTCGGTAACTGGAACTTTCCTTGGCATTGCCCTTCTTTAGGACTAGAATGTTTTCCAATCCAGTGGCCCCACTGAGTTTTCCAAATTTGCTGGCATATTGAGTACAATACTTTAATAGTATCATCTTTTAGGATTTTAAGTAGCTTAGTGGGAATTTACTAGCTGTATGACCCTGGGCAAGTCACTTAACCTGTTTGCCTCAGTTTGCTCATCTGTAAAATGAGCTGGAGAAGGAAATGGCAAACCACTCCAGTACCTTTGCCAAGAGAACCACAAATGGGGTCACAAAGAGTCAGACACAACTAAACAACAACATTTCGTATAGCACAATAGTATTCCATCACAATCGCATACCACAACTTGATTGGCCATTCCCTAACTGATGCGCACTCTCTCAATTTCCAATTCTTCGCCACTAGGATTACCATTCATCTACCCTGTATGTATCTTGTATGTGCTCAGTTATTTACACCTACCTCCTCCATTAAAGTGTGAGCTCTTTGAGACCAGAGGATTTCTTTTTTTACCTTTCATTGTATCCCTAGCACAAAAAGAGCTGCTATAAATAGCTAGTGAGGCAACTGGGGTTAAGTGACTTGCCTAGGGTCACACAGCTAGTGTCCAGTGTTTGAGGCCAGATTTTAATTCAGGTTCTCCTGACTCCAGGGCTGGTGCTGTATTCACTATGCCACCTAGCTGCTCCTTGCTATAACTATTTTTGCACACAGGAGGTCTTTTTCATTTTTCTTTGATTTCTTTGGAATACAGACCTGATACTGGTATTGCTGGGTCAAAGGGTATAGACAGTTTGATAGCTTTTTGGGCATAGTTCCAAATTACCCCCCATGCTATTTCAAAGTATATCACTCAGCCCACAAACTCCAGACACAGCAGTCTATTGGCTGTGGTACATTTCTCCAATAGAGTTTAGCAAGTGCTTTCAATGACTCCACAACAGAACAGAAAAAGCCAAATAATACACCAACTCACTTCCTATAAGAATGGCTCCAGGTACAATGACCCCTACAAGTTAAGTGGCTGACCTCAGAAATAATACATTACTGCTGTTCCACGGAAAAGCCCTCTCCTGTAAGACTACAGTCCTTTCTTAGCAAGTCTATTCACTAAAAAGTTAGATCCATTTCTAATCTTATACAATTGTACATGGACTACAAGTACAGTCTACTAGAACTGAGACAAAATTAGAATCTCAAACTATATATCCAGTTCTCTTTTGATTATCTCACACTATTCCCTGTACAATCTTATTTGCAAAGACAGGTTAGCCAGGACACCCTTAAACAATGTGTTTAACTTGTGTAAATTGCTTAAAATGCACTCAAATATTCAAACCCAATATTGTGAGTTTGTTACAACAGACATACAAAATTTCCCACCCTCCCATCTACTGGGGTTAGGAGTCAGGTCTAGACATATTGATGGATGGTGAAAGACAGTAAAAATACATGACCATGAACAGCAGTTTTGTTCTAGTTCTCCATTCACTTCTGCAGCCAAGACATAAAAGCACCTTCCCCAGATGTTCCTTTAAACTAGAAATAATTCTATGAGACAAGAAAAGAGAACAAAGGAAAGCTAAAGCTCTGAAATCAGGGCCACTGGAAAGTCATGGGCAAGGTCATCCTGCTACAGTTCTTATAACAGAAATCAGGAATACAAATTCAAACTTGTGAACTTATTACCTTGTCAGCTCTTCACGAAGATTGTTTGGTTCTGAGGAGTAAAACTTAACACGGAGGTGCAGACAATATGGTGAACCAACTAGGGAAGGTGGGGAAAAACAAAAGAAACAACTTGTCAGTCTACTAATCAAGTCAGGATTCTTAATTAGTTTCATCTCCAGGTCTGGAAGAATCAGTGAGTGCTGTACAATAACAGATATCCTTATCATGTTTGAAATCTATCGACCAAACTATCAAACCAAAATGGTTAAGAACAATTACACAAAACAGTATTTGATAATAATAAAGTCACTATTCCACGATCTTCTTGCCATTAAAAATTGGTTTGTTTTGCAAGGAATAGACAGCTCTTTGATAATCCCAATATTCCAGGGCTCTATAAATCATGCAAAAGCTTTAAGTCTTGGCAACATACTTAACCAATGCCCTTGAATCCTACTGATCTGTACTCATCAAGGCACTTATATATGCCCTTTATTAATGTTCATGGTAATGTCTCCTGCACACACTTAAACTTACTTCAACTGAAGGGAGTTTTCTTTGGGGCTTCATTATTTTTTAAAAGATATGTGTAAAGCCTGAAGTTACAGAATATGGAATAAATTCTGTGTTAGTGCCTGCTTTTTTCCCCTGGCTATGTTTAGGAGGAATCAAAATTTTATCTTAAGTTGTTTTCAATTTGTTATTCTTAATAAAAAATTAATAATGCAGCCCTAAAAGTTTCTGATGATATTTTGAAACTACAAATACTGTCTGAAACAAAAAGGAAAAATTCCAGGACAAACAATGGCCACACATACATCTATATATGCATATGCCCATGTGTGTGTGTGTACACACATATATGTACAATATATATGTGTACACACACATATGTACACTATATATATGTGTACACACACATATATATGTATACATACACACACACACACACACACACACACACACACACTCAGAGACAACTAGATAGATAGCAATCTCACTTTTTTATCTTCCCTGGCTGATTTTTACAATATTTCTAAGAAAATCATCTTTCTGATATTCCTTTCTAACTATTCCTTCTCCCCTCTCCACTCCCCAACCACAGAATTTTCATGCAGATGTTCAGCCAGGTATCAGTGAAGTACCACAGGCATTACCTTCTGGGATCAAGCTGTAAAAATAAAGATGAAGAAAGAAAAGGATTCAGGATGATTTCAAATATGCTATACCCTGTTTCTCCTAGTAAGCTAGAGTATACCCTTGGAATTCATGGATTCTAGAAAATAAATCAGGTTCCAAAGTGTACCCAAAACAATACAAAATACTTACTTTTAACTTGTTTTTTGATGCTTTTTGTACTGTCCAACCAATGCTGAAAGAAACAATAAAATTAATTGAAGGTCTTAGACAATTAAAAATAGCTAGTATTTACCTCATATTTTATTTCTTAGCAAAGACCAAACCCCCTTTAATAAGGGTTAATATTTAACTTTTAGGATTTTCTTTAACCCAGGCAAAGCTAGGTATCAGTCCACACTGACAGAAGGAATACACCCATGTCAAGAACATCACAAGTCAAAAAAATTCATCTTTCATATTCACTTGATTCAATGTCTGTGATCTAATCAAATGATCTCTGTCTTTTATTGGCCAAATATTAGATAGTTTTGTAATTTGTTTTAAAGTAGGGGAAAAAAATACTTTTCAATAGTTTTTCTCTTTTGTGTGCTCTTTAATCCTTTGCCACTTCGTTTTTTTACGTACATTACATTATGATTTTGTCCAGATCTATAATGAAACCCCTCGCTATGGAGCATCCCCCCCCGCCAAAAAAAAATATTGTATTCCAACTTATCCCTCCTCCATCCAGCAAGTAAACTGATTTTGCACTAGCCATGTCCCCTCCTACTTCTTTCTCCTTTGTGGAATCCTAAATCATTGGTAGCTCCCCCTTCTTGTGACCACAGGGGTGAGAAACCAGACTAGATACACAGAGGTCCGCCTCTCTATTAAATACATAAGCAGTCTTATCCCAAAACTGTTGTGATGGATGGACCCAGAGGTTCCATTCTAAACCATGTGTCAAATGTTCTGAGCAGCCTCTTGAAAGATCATTTCGTGTGGACTCCTTGTCTTTCCATGGCCAGTAGACCACAATGGAGTACACACACCTTCAGTTCCAATGCTTACAGGTCTTGCAAGAAGTGCCAATTTAATTTAATATGTCTCAAACATGTATTAAGGTGTCTATTATGTGTACAGCCCCATGCCAGGTTTCTTGAATAAAATCCTTCTCCTCAAAGGGCTTTAATTCTACTGGAGGAAGACACAACATGTACATGAATAAGTAAATATAAGATCATTTGAGGAGAGAGAGGGTACTAATAACTAGGAGTATCAGGAAAAGCTTAGGAGCTAGCAACTGAATTGACTTAACAGAAGCTAAGAACTCTAAGAGGACATCTTATGTAAAGCGACAAGGGTAGAAGACAATGTCAAATTCAGGAAACAGCGTCTAAGTCCCATTGGCTAAAAACAAAGTATGTGAAAGGCAGTAATGTGTAACAAGGCTGAAAAGGTAGGCTGCAGCCAGAGTGCAAAGAATTTTAAATGTCAATCTGAAGGTATTTACACTTTACACAAAAAAGCAGTAAGGAGCTGCCAGAGATTTTGAGAAACAGAATGATGTGACTAAACCTGTACTTTAGGATTATTTTGTTAACTGTGTGGAAGATGGATTAGAATGGAGAGAAGCTAGAAGCAGGAAAACCCATTAGGAGGCTATTGGTAAAGTAAAGACAAGAAATGAAGGCTGGAATGAGTGTGGTGACTGTGTGACTGGAGAAAAGGAGATGGGGGTGAAAAATGTGGTGGAAGTAGACAAGACATGGCAACTGACTAAGGTGGGGAAGATAGGCAAGGAGTCAAGGATGACATGGCGTTAAACCTAATGACCAGAAAGGTAATGCTCTCAACAGAAATATAACAGTCAGGGGGAGGTGTGTGCTTAAGGGGGAAAAAGTGAGTTCTGTTTTGGAAACTGAGAGTTCAAGGAGTTTTTCTGTATCGAGTTAGCCTGATGCTTGAGCAGTAAGTACCATCTATCTCCAGGATCATATTTAAAGTCTTTTCAGTTCGGCAAAACTAATCATAGTCTGGGCTCTGCTAACATAATCTCTGAAAACACAGAATTAACGCCAGGCCGCAATGAGGAACTGGAATATGACTTTCAAAGGTCCTACCTTTGAGCAGTAGGTTATCAATGAAGTAAACACACACATTATAAAACTTAAATTCCTGTAACACTTAGAAAGGACTAAATGTGGAAGATACATGACTACTAGACTTAGAGCTAAGAGAGATCTGAGATTAAATCCCACTGATTCTTATTGTCTGGTCATGGGCAAGGCACCTAATTTTACTAAACCTCAATTTCTTCACTTATAAAAAATGAAACCTATAGGATAGTATCCACCTCACTAGACTGCCCTGAGGACACATCATAAGGTACTTAATAAATGACTGACTGATAAAATGCAAAATGTTCTACAAACCTTAAGACACTCTATAAATGTTACTTACTAATCAAGGCAGTGGCAACTATTTGAGACCAAGTTTTTGTCTTCCTTTCTTAAGGGGAAAACATTATAGTTGGACTTGTCTTTACATATTTGCTTTTCCCTTTACTTTCAGTAATCTTCTTTTAATTTTACCCTGTTAGACAAATTACCAAGAATTTACGATATCTAAAAGTTCAGAAAGGGAGAGAGAAAAGGTCAGTGGTTTCAAGGTATAAAGTTCAATCACTAACCAAAAAGAAAGCAGACAGATAATTGAAATTATTCCTTTTCTCTACTATCATCATCCTTCTTCTTCCTCAAGAAAATACTAAACCCTCAGAGACTCAAGCACTAGAATACAAAATTGGATTCAGAAGTGGGAGAGTTCTCAGTGACATTCTCTTACAGAAAGGCTGGGAGTTCATGTTTGCTTATTCTCAAGTCTGTTTTCTTTCATCTCCTCCACATTCCAGACCCAAGCTGTTTAGAGCTCAGAGACAGGCACTGCGAGTACTTTCCTTAAGTCAGTGTCTTTAGGACTTGCGTTTCAAAAGATAAAAGTACTCTCTTTCATTCTAACCATGAGGATCTATGGCCCCTGGGACCCTATATGTTCTATCTTCTTTCATTATACCTCCTTGAAGGGAATAAATCTGCTTTTAATCTTATTTCTGACAATCAAGCCAATCACTTAAAAACTCATATTGCCCTAAACTGAATTATGACAGGGGAGAAAAACTTGTATTTACTTACCTCTTAATGAGTTCTGAAATGTGATAAGCTCACATTCTAAAATAAATTCCTTGCTTGTTTGTTTTAAAGAAATAAGCACTCTATAATCACAACACTCCCAAATTACACATTGTATACACAGTAACAAAACCAAAGCTGTTTTTCATATAATGAAGGGAAGTCCTGATACTTAACTTAAGGGTAAATGCTTAAAGACTAGAAGGCTCAGCCATCATTAGACACACCACACCTTAAAAGCCAGCTGTCAATCAATGAAACTTTCATTGCTTCTTTAAGGTTCAATTTGTACTCTGAATAAAAGTATTATTTTAATACAAGCACTAAAAGATAATTCCCAAGGACAGAATGATGTGCTTTTTGTTATATTCCTGCAAATCAGTTTATTCCTGATTTTATCATTAGTCTTTTCATAGAATTTGCTTTCTCCTTTCATTTGGGAAAAAAACAAACAGAAAACACACATATCATTTAGCTGTCTTTATAGAGACACCAAAATTTATTAAGGAAATACAAACAAACTAGATTTGTTTAAAGCCATGTCACCTTTTGGGGACTGAGCATGTACTGTATTTTAGAGATTTTTCTTTTAAAAAGTCAAGCAAATTCAGAAGACACTACATGATGTCTTATCAGATGTGAGTAAATTTTACAGGCAATTCATTTATTTTTATTACCAGATTATTTAACAGAAACATATTTCCATTGTCTTTCTTAAATTTGCTTTAGTTGTGCTATCTTCAAATTCCAGTGCAATTTTAAAACATTCACTGAGGGACCACTCCCTCCCCCACCTTTTTTGTTCGAAGTGAAGAACTAAGGGTGTGTCAGACTGACTTATGGTTAGTTTAAATGAACTTTTTCCCCAGCTTTTTATTCTTTGTTAAACTAAATGGCTCTCTGGAACAAGGAGGGACTGAGGTGGAGATGGGAGATATCTTGGGAAATATAGGTTATTGTAAAACAAAAGATTCAATAAAATTATGTTTTAGAAATAAATACATTATCTCGGAAAATTATAACCTGAAGGAGGAGTAACCAAGTATTAATAATGATTATATCCAAAGAATCATTAATTTAATATGTCTAAGGTAGAGGTCAGAGACCAACAACCTATGGCAAACAAAGCTACTGTCAGACACCGAATGAAAATATCTGAATGGACACAGAGTACAAAGCAAGCAGCCCCTGCATATCACCACCAAGCCAACCTACCAAGGGAGGAATAAGAATAACAATGGCATCCAGGGAGAGTTAAGGCTCGAGTGTCAAAGAGCCAAAGCATGGCCTGTTATCCGGGACTAGGTGATCATATTCTCCACTGTCTACTCAGCCTCGACAAGTACCCTGTCCCAATCCCTTTGGAACCAAAGAATCACAAGAAAATTTTCTACAGTTTGACTTGGGTGAGTGGCTCCTACAGACAAATAAAACTGTCCACTTTAAGTAATGGCGATATTCTTTCTTAACAGGAAAGAACATCATACTGCTTTAAATAGAACAGCCTTGACTTTAAAGAAGAACCCTTGACTTCAGGGTCCAAAAAGCTGGGTTCCAGTCATCGGACGACATATTTAGAGCTAGAAGGGAACTCATGCAATCAATCCAGCCCCCTCATTTTGCAGATGAGAAAGCAGGTCTAGCGAAGTTAAGGAACTTGCCCAAGGTCACAGGGCTAAGTGGCAGAGTTGGAATTCAAACCTATACAAACTCTCCAACTCCAAATCCAAATTGAGTGCTTTCTGTTATATAATGCTGTCTCTTCTCTCTACAAGCTGTGAAACCTTCAACACTACTTGTCTAACTCTGTTTCCTTATCTATAAAAATGGGGGTATATCTCCCTACTACACAGGTTGCTGAGGATCAAATGAGATAATGTGTAAAATGATTTACAACCCTACAGACATAGAAAGGAAATCTATTAATGTTTTGCTAAAAGACAACAGAAATTTTTTAGATTACATCGTCCTTTATCTTTCTTTGGGACCATACTTAACATGAGATTTTATTTTGGTGAGGTAAATCTGCAAATACCCTGCAAATCAAGAGTCTTACAGAGCT